GATAAATAAAAAATCGAATTTACCTTAAATTAAACTTAACTTCGAACGTTTCCCTCGTCGAGATAAAATTTTTCGAGTGTTACGAAACGAATATGTCGTTATTTTTTTTTCTTTTTTTTTTTTTTTTTCCACAATGCGTTCCTCCTTTCAAACTTTCTCGGGAAATCCGAAGGTAATTGAGAACGGTCAAGAAGGCGCATAAAACGTTCGAAGAATGAGTCGACACGGACACGCGTCGAATACCAAACTCAACACTTGCCAACAAAAAACATATGATTCCTTTCATTGCACAAAATCGATTTGTTTGCCGCGCGATCCACGTACACAAATGAATTACGATCAATAAAATTTGGAAATGGAATCATCGGGTTTCTTTTTCTTTTTTTTTTTTATTAAACGATTTTCAAGTAAACGTAATATACAAAGGAAAATTAATTGTCGATCGAGAAAAATAAATATATCTGCATTTTTCATTAAATTCGATTTAATCTCCTTTGTTTATTTCCTTGACGAAGGAAAGATGAGAATAAAAAAATTAAGGAATCAATAAGAACCTCGTTATCCAACCTACATGATTTATTATTGTTGACGAAGTTAATCAAAAAAATATTTTTTAACAATCAATGGAACGCCTTTACCACGTAAAATGTAATACTGTCGAGAAAACTTGTACACCGAATTAAATTAAATTCGCATGTTTGGACGACTAGAAATTTTTCGTTGGCAAAAATTAATCAATAAAAGCACGGCCGAAAAATTTCACACCGAATTCGCAGTTTTAAGTTTGTCCAAAAGTTTACGCGACATCGATTTTTCACTCGAGGAAAAATTTATTCTGGATTCACCACACAACACGTCCGATCATTTATCGCGGTCGGTAAACGAACGTCAAACGCGATCGATTTCGCGCGCGTGTCGCGACGCTAATAAATATATCGTACTGAGCTCAAGCCCGAAAATAGTCGGGGTAATTGAAAAATTTTCACCGACGCGCCACCGAGAAACGCCGGCAAAGACACCGCGACCCCCAAACACCGATCATTTTCACATAAATCGTCAATGGACGATACACAAAATTAATCGCGCACCGTCACAAATTCACCTAACCTAAAAATTGTATAACCTCCATGATTAACTGTTGCATAGAGACTAACGGTATAAATTTTTTGACGGAGAATTGATCTTCGAAATTGATCCTCGACGAACAATCTTTGATCAATTTTATTGTTACTAATTTGTTTATCATTTCTTGTGTACCGCACACGCTTTTTTGGAATTGTTTCCAAAATATTTTTTTTTCCCGTGTATGAGATAAAACTTTTTTTTCTCATATCAAAGAAACGAGAGGACACAGCGAAACTTAGTTAAGTTGCGGTAAAAAAAAAAAAAAGAAAAATCGTCCTACTCCTACGAAATTTTTTCATTGAAAAGAATCTAATTTTTCCGAAACATTCTTGCCTAACTCCATATCTCCCCGTAACTCACCGAATCCATGAAAAAAAACAAAATTTTTCGAGCACTGTCACGCCGTTAAAACATACCGATAAAATACTCGGTGGAGCAGAAGAAATAATGTAAGGAGCGAGGAGAGAGAGAGAGAGAAGAAAAAAAATAGAGAAAGAAGAGAGAGAAACGAAACGATCGATAGAGTTTCTTTCCTTTCGATGAATGGAACGAGTTCGTTTTTTTTTTTTTTTTTTTTTTTTTTCGTATTTAATATTTAACGGCACGCGCGCACAGCTTTCACACGCCACGTATAAAATCACGTTAGACACTCGACACGGCTCCGCTCGACTCCGCTCGACTGTTTGCTAGCCAGGGCATAGCACCTCCCGTAGGAGCCGAGCGAGGAGTCAACCCGCTCCAGGAATAGAAACACCAAAGCCCGAAATCGCTCGAGAGCGTTGTGGAGGCGCGACGCCGCGACGCGAGAAAGAGAGACGTTGCTCGAACCCGCGAAAACTCGAGTGGATAGGCCGTTTTAATACCGTGTATTTGGCCCGTGCTCTATCTAAATGCCTATTGGTCGAAATGGATTTGCCGAAATATCGTTCAACAACAGTCGAATTATTAATATTTTATCAACGCCTGATACGTTTTATAAAGTTACGTGATATTTTATAACACGGTACGTTAATAATTGGGGAAATTTATCGAATAATTGAAAATAATTTTTGTATCGTACATGATATATAAAATTCCTCTATATTTATTTTGAAAGGGAATATGCGAGAAACATAAAATTGTATGTCTCTGACTGATCAATCTGATTTGAAATTGATGGAAATTGATTAATCAGATGGGTGAAAATTCTCGAATTAAAATAGATGGGGTTATAACGAGGAAGTATATAAAAGTTGGAAAAGGTAACGTTTAAAGTGTAACGATCGTGTTGCAATTTTAATATTTTCACAGCTTCCCTGTATTTTCAGAGAAAACAATCGTCAGATTTCTCTAAATATTTTATGTCGCCGCGATATTCGCGTAATAAAAAACACGAAAGGGAAGAAGCGGCGAAAAATATGGGAAGAGACTTCGATGCTCGATAATGTGACGTGAAACGCGGTTCTTAAGGTTAATTTAGACGGAGACCACGTGGCCAAATGATCTATGAGAAAATGTCTAGTAGGCAGCAACCGTCCACGTGCCAGTTGCTTACACATTGGCCACGATCGAACACTTGCAACCTGGCTCTTTCGATACAGAATATTTCGATCAACGTATTTCAGCAATATAAAATATCTTAAAATATCTCGATACATTTCTTCAAATATTATTTTAAAAATTAATACAAATAATTATTTATATTCCTCGATAAGAATAATAATCAAAGCAGATTTATAATTTTTATTACAATATAAACTAGGCTCGCGTGATTTTTCTTTGAATTACTTAACTAACTAGATTTATCAATAATATATCAAACTCGCAAATTTCGAAGAAGGATTTAAATATTTGCAAAGATTGAAAAATATGCGAAAGTATCAAAAATATTGGATTTCATAATTTTAATGATATTCTCGAATTGTAGCATTAGAAAAAAATATTAAATATATATATATATGTGTGTGTGTATAATATTTGATAATTAACTTTTATTTTAAAAAAAAGTTCAAAGAATTGAACACATTTGAAACAACATTTAGGTTGAAGAAAATAACAATACTTGAACAAAGTATACATTTCTCCATTTTCGAGTTCTTGTCACACAGATCCAACGTAGAAAAGGGGTTCAAAGGCGGTGTGTATCGTGAAAAACAAAATAATCAATTTCGCATTGTGCTCAAACCGAAACGGTCGGAAACACCTACACGTCAATCAGCTCACTTCCCGTTTTCCGACTCCTTAAACACAAATCAATCATATCCGTACTGGCAAGTTCTATTTGTGTGCTTTCCTCGGGAACACGTGTTTCATTAGGAAAACGTGTTGATCTGGTATTACACAGATTTGGTAACACGATGGATCGCTTTTTATACGATTATTCAGATTTGTGTTAATAATATATACAAATATGATTAATGATCAATTATTTTGAATTTATGTCATACTTACACAAAATATTTGATTAGTGTCTTTTGAAACAATTGTCTTTCTACTTTAAAATTAACAAAACATTTTATGATCGTTTTAAAAGAATTGTTTTTTTTTCTAATTTAAAATTTGTGTTTATATATATATATATATATATATACAAATGATTGTTACTAAATTTGTATTCCATTCTATTAAAAATAACGGAATTGTTATTTGAAAATCATATCTCTTGAGAAATATATATATGTAATGGAAATCGAGTTTCCGCTTATCTTTAGCGAATAGATTTTTTTTAAATTTATTTGACACGTGATCTAAATATAAGCAATAAAATAAAATACTTATGACTTACTTGCAATATTAAGACGAAGGCGACCCACTGGTAATATTTTACATTTTTTATTGTCTCCTTATTGGAATATATATCGTCTTCTTGATCATAACGATGATTTCCATGAGAAGACGCAACTCCAGGTGCCACAACGTCTATGCCATTGGTACCGAGCATAGCTCTGGTCACAAAATATGTACTGTGTATCCAACAATACGAATTGAAAGCCTCGATGGGTATATCTCTGCAAAGGACAAATGAAATAGAATGTAAAACAAGCAGAGAGAAAATAGTAAAAATAAAGAAAACGAAAGTAAAAATAGCAAATTCATATATAAATTGTATGTATATTGATCGTATCGATTATATTCCACATTCGTTGGAAATTATTTATAATAGATTTATTCGCGTGTGATATGCTTATTTCTGAAAAAACTTGAAATTTATGTATTATATACGTTCAAGTGATTCCCGAATTGTATAAGAAAACAATAATGAGAGTTGAGACCATGTGTCATCTAATTTTTAGAAATATTCATAATCGATTATTTATATAATCAAGCGCATCTATTTTAATATTATATTGCTATTAATCAAATCTCAATCATAGACAACTTAATCTAATTTTATCCGTTTGGAACATATGCATCAAGAGTCTACTTCAACTTCTTGTTTAAAACTATGCATATACACATCAGCAGATAAACTATGATATAAAACTAAAAATAGATAAGTCACTTTTTAAATGATAAGACAATAAAAATATTCAGATGAAAAATAATTTTTTACAAACTGAATGACACAAAATATCGATTTTTTTTTTTCAATGAAACATAAATTTTACTTTTTACGTATAAATTGTCAAAATTCACATATCTCGAAATATTTTACACGATACAAAAATACATGTAACATCTGGAACATCGGATCATCATTAAGCTTAAAGAGCTTAAGGTTATGAAATAGCACAAGGAGCAAAATTTATGACTGAAACATGAATTAGACTTACCCAAAGCAATATATTCGCCATATTAAACTGCAAAATTATATACATATTCAAAATTGAATATGGATAATATGAAATATTATCTCGAGAAGCAATACGACCGTTTATATTTTAAAGATACACGACCATAGATTACGCACGCGCATCCTAAACTAAAAAGAAGAAAAGATGGCGTGTGAAGACAAACAAAAATAGAAGTGACACCTGCCATCAATTAATATAAGTATGTGTATGGCGATTGCAGATGCATTCAACAAAAATAAAAAAACACAAATTATATATATAAGTAAGTACAAGAAAATTTATATAAAAGAATGAAATCAATGAAGGACAAATAATCGTTCGATGATAAAAGTAAAATCGTATTAAATTAAGATATTTTGGAATGGAATCTAATACTTTTTTGATGTGTTACTTAATACATCAAAGAATTACTTAGATATGTGTTTAAATTAGGAGAAGGTTAGTCATTTAAAATAATTGAAAATAATAAATTCTAATCGATTATTTGTTTTCTGTAAATTTTTGTTCGTACCTGGTATGAACACATTCTATTGGATTTCCTACAACTTGTTTGCTACTAATAATTGCTGAAAACATCAGTATTAGAATTGTTGTTAAGGAGTGTAATCTGATAGTGATGCTATCGGTTTTCGTTTTATTCATCTGTAAAATTATATTTCTTTATTAGCAAAATGTTTTAAGTTTATATATAAATAAATAATTATATATCTATTATTTGTTTTGTATTGTAAAATATATATACAAAATATTTATATAAATTTAGGGATCAAGTTTTTAGGGATTTTTTTTTTCTTCTTTCCATCCTTATTATATCATAATTTCATATCGTATATTAATAGTTATAATTTTAATAAATCATAATTTCAAGATATAATTTTAGTAAGTTTTTATATTGTGTTTCACATTAATATTCGCATATAATTTTATTTAAATTTAAAATTTAAGATTCGTAAAAACCATATTATTCTTTATCACGATTTATTGCATTTTATAATTTCGCTTATTGCGTTCCTAATTTCCATTCTAAAAAACAGATTTTCTCATAGTTCAGAGATAAGCGAATCATTACAACTAATTTTAATTCATATTTCAATTAATGCATGGAACAAAGCAGTCACTTAAGTGAATTGAAACGCTTGTGCTTTGAGTATTGTATTTTAATGAGACGTGTATTCGATTATTCATATATCATGAACTCACATGATCAAAAATATCTCGTGGTTTTTTAAAAATCTATTTTCTTAAATATATATATATATATATATTCTGATATAAATATGAATACATAAAATGTTTCATTAGAGATATTAATTAATCAATTTATTACATTAATGATATTTGAAAGAATTTAAGAATTTATGTAATATTAAAAAATAAATATAATTAGCAATAATAATAATAATTAAATGATAAATTATTGAAATTATTAAATTGTTGAAAAAGGAAATATCGTAATTATTAAAATATAACGCTCTATTAAAAATACTTCAAATCAAAACTTACACGCAAAGAATAACAAAGTGCCATGACTTTATCTATCATTTTCGCTTCGCTTTTATTTCTACTTCGAATTGTTCTAATTGTCACATCATTGTATCCAACCAAAACTCTATTTTCCAAAGTTTTATTTGACGAAAATATAACTTCTCCATTTACGATAATTTTTGTGGAAGAATTGACATTAGATACATACTTCATACTCGAACAATTATAATTCGACGAACGTCAAATACTTTTAATAGTATCACTAATCTCTTATTTTAAATGTTAAGAAAATATTCATACGATTGTTTTTATTTATACAACTTATACATGGTAACATCTCGATTGATAAAAATTTTGTTTAAAAAGTTGTTAAAAACATGAATTTATTATTATTCTCTTGATCACTTGTTCGATACACAACATAACATCCTCCTTTCAATTACAACGCGTGTTAAATTTCAAAAAATGAAATATATTCCTGATTATTTTCATTTGTCCAACTAGTGACATTATCATATATCATTATAAATTATACATATTATTTTCGATTTTACGAAAGTGTATATACGATTGTTTTTATTCGTTTATCACTCGGCTCAAGTTATGAAAAAAAAAAAAATTGAATTTATTATATTTTATTTTCTGCAACGAACTTTATATCGATTATTTCCGAAAATTTGAAGAAGAAACACTTGGAAGCAGGATAAGAACGGAAGAACGTCCACTGGTTGGCAAAACATGAACACCACAACTGTTACTTTTTCTCTGATCTCTTTTAGTTCGAGTCAATTTTATTTTTATATTTTTTTTTTTCACCTTCGTATCTCTCTCTGTCTTTCGCTCCTTCGTTCTTTTACCACTATTTCGATCAACCCCAAGCTTTCTTAAAATTGCTTTGGCGCCGAAGTGACAACACGATTCACTCGCTATTTTATCTAGCGATGGCATTAAGTAGCTTTCGACCCGTATTGAAAAAATTTTTTTAAATTTTCATTTTTTCTCCCAATTAACTTAAACATTTTTTGAAACGATTTTTTATATTTTATTGTGTATTAATCTTCGAAGAAGGATCAATTTTAAATTATATCTACCATTTCTTTTTTTTTTTACGATTATTTTTTCGTGGAATGTTCCACGAAATGTTTAAATCTCTCAAGATATTCGAACGTTCTATAGAATCGTTGTCTTTTCAGACGAGAAAATTCTCCATCATCTGAGTGTCTGAATTGCTCGGGATCAAAAGGGATTAAAAGAATTAAACTTCCATCACTCGAGAAACTCGAGAAACGAACGCCTACGCTTCTCGATAATCTACACATCATCGTATCTCCACTGGAAATTTCAGAGAAATCTGGCATCAAAATAAATGTGTGTCATCCAATCGCTACATTTAGTTTTATTACCAAGTTATTCCTTCAAGCATTTGGTCACGCTGCACGAGTTGAGCACCACTGTTCCGGTCTCCATTAACTCGATAACATACGTTGGAAACATACGTTGGAAACGAAATTTCTTAGAGATCTTTTCAACGCGTTGTCACATTTTCGAGCGATTTTTCTTTCCAAAACCAGGTGTACCATCGATTTTTATAATTGTTAATATATGTGTGTATCTCTTTCTTTCCTTTCTGTTTTTTTCCCTCTCTCTCTTTCTTTCAAAAATCTTCATAAGAAAATTTTAAAAATTCATCAATTTCACTCTCCGCACATAATAAAAAGTTCTATGAAATATGAATTAAAAAAAAAAAAAATACCCTTTTCAAACAGTAGGAATCTTTTATTTTTTTTAAATACTAGTATAATAATACTAAAAGTGAAGCATATAACGTTATATGCGTAATTATAGCATATTATCAACGTCTTTTACATTCACTTAGTAATCATAATTGATAGTTAAGTTTCTGTGAAACTTTTAAAATCAAAAGAAAAAAAAGCATTGCATTTGTATGCGGCAGAAGTATATACGTTACGCTTATAGCTTAGCAAACAAGTTGAATACAAGGATTAAAATCGAGACAAGGAATAAAAGTAAAAAATATTCGATAGTTTTATCAAGGAGAAAATTTAAAACAAAAATCTTATGACCAAGATTAAATATCGTTGAATGGAATGAACAACAATAGGTGTGCTTATTATACGAATATTTCATTTCAATACAATATTAACTGAAAATAGATAAGTATAAATTGTAAAGTCGTATAAAACATAATCCATATTTGTCAATCTTTAATTCTCTCATTTAATCATTTATTAATCGCCTAAAAATAAAATAAAATAAAGTAATACCGTTAAAATTCGGCTTTCTGTGTTTAAAATTCGTTTCTTATTTTCCAATAGGAAATACATGCATATGGTACAATTTGTTTAACGCTTATAAAGTCATTGGACATAGATGTTGAAACGTGATGAAAAATATTATATAGCGTTGGAAAAAAAAAAACGTTTAATAGAAGTCTTCTTCGACAATGTTTCCTTGCCGACGGAACACAAATGGGTAAATAGTCGATCGATATACATATACATATATATATATATGTGTGTGTGCGTGTATATATATATATATATATATATAGTGTTTACACCAACATGCACTTTTTTCCATTTTTTCGCGAAAATGGACGACAATTAATTAACAACTTTATAATAACAATTATTTAAAGATCTTCAGTTCATTCTTTTTATTAATTAAAAAGATACTATATGTTTTAAACGCTATTAAAATAAAAACGTATGTTAGAGAAAAATCCACCGAATAAAATATTCATTTTAGCCATACCAAAATTCTTACAACTTTCCAACTACATTAACATATAATTTTAATTGGTATTGCGATTACTCAATCGCGTGAAAAAAGATTATCCCTAAGGTATTTTAACATAAAATATACGTTTAAAAATTCGGTATATGTATTAAAAGAAAAGAAAAAAAAAAAAAATAACTTTTCTTTATTTTAAAGAAAAAAAAAAAAAAAAAAAAAAGTAGAATTAATTTGTATATACGCTATACAGGAATGTATCATAATAGCGTCTTTCGTAAGACACAATATACACGTGTTGTCATAACCACGGAGATCGATTAAAAAAAAACCAGTATGATCTCATAGCAAAAAAAGACGTTGTAAACCGGTAAAATACATATCCTTGCACGTTATGATCCCCACGGTCAATAGATTTTTCTAATCCTAGTGAAACGATTTGCTTTGAGCAATACTCGAAGAAATAAAATAGGTTTGTTTGCTTTGGAGAACGAACACTAAATGAAAAGTTACAGAACGATTCTCTCGGGACCTAATCGTTGAAAAACAATGATGATACACGCGTGAGTATACATAACACGCAGCTACCATATCCACATATACACGTATGCACACACAAGTACGCACGCACAAGCACACACACACGCACACAGAGATCCTAAAGTGGTCACTTCAATGCGGCATTAGGAATGTCTTCTTCATCGCATTTTTCTACGTCAGTCGTATATAGCAATTGTTTCTTTCATTTAAGCGCTAGTTTAGGAAAATATCTTTATGAATTCTCGCTTCATTTATACAAATGCGCAGGTCTACATATATGTGTATATATATATATATATTATTTTTTTTTTTTCTTTCTAATCTCTTTCTTTTAATTTTCTCTAGAGAAAAATAATCTCTCAGGCAGAAATTATAGAATGCTGCTTATTGACCAATCAACGGAATCAGTCCATAATTCTATCTTATCTTTCAATCTTTTGTCTTTTAATCTTTTAATTGTATAATAAAACAATAGCAAAGTGTAACACCTAGGCAACGACTGAATGTGAATCGCTCATTTTTTTAGTAAGCTCTTGCAAGAAATCCCTGTAGATCAACGAGTCCATGTTAGAGGAGAGGATGTAGAGAAGCCACCAATCGCCAAGGTCAATCTTCTTGCTGATACTGTTGCAGGTTTCTATGGAGAGAAGTCGTGATGACAGGCAAAGCAATCTTGGTCTGACGGCTGGGGCGAAGATTATGGCGGCTCTGTAGACCATCAAGCCGATCAACAAAATCGATAGGATGGTATACCAGAACCAGATGAAAATGTACGTTTTCTCGTTGACGATGTTCAACGGTAGGATACATAGAGAGTCGTGCTTCTGTATGGTCCCTGATGCACCATACTTGTGGAATATGCATTTGGTAACGCGTGGAAAGACGTAGACCATAGGATCTACACGTTCTTCCTGTGGAACGTCGGATAATTGTAAGACTCGCAGTCCATAGCTGAGGAACTCGCCGTCGAAAAATCGATTCATCAGGTACAGTTGAAGGAAAATATTGACAAGGCAGAGGGCCTCGCAGGCGAAATACCGGTACACATACGTGTTGTGCGTCTGAAAGAAGAACAAGCAATCGGTGAATTGGCATAAATTGGACTCAATGAAGGCAAATTGGATTTAACCAAATCGTCTCAGCCCTCCTTCTCCTCTTACGTTCTTTCTCCCAAGATATGAACTATCATCGTTGAAATTTGTTTTAGTTAGAATTGAAAAATTTAAAATAATTACTTGATCAAATTGTATAATAAAACAATAGCAAAGTGTAACACCTAGGCAACGACTGAATGTGAATCGCTCATTTTTTTAGTAAGCTCTTGCAAGAAATCCCTGTAGATCAACGAGTCCATGTTAGAGGAGAGGATGTAGAGAAGCCACCAATCGCCAAGGTCAATCTTCTTGCTGATACTGTTGCAGGTTTCTATGGAGAGAAGTCGTGATGACAGGCAAAGCAATCTTGGTCTGACGGCTGGGGCGAAGATTATGGCGGCTCTGTAGACCATCAAGCCGATCAACAAAATCGATAGGATGGTATACCAGAACCAGATGAAAATGTACGTTTTCTCGTTGACGATGTTCAACGGTAGGATACATAGAGAGTCGTGCTTCTGTATGGTCCCTGATGCACCATACTTGTGGAATATGCATTTGGTAACGCGTGGAAAGACGTAGACCATAGGATCTACACGTTCTTCCTGTGGAACGTCGGATAATTGTAAGACTCGCAGTCCATAGCTGAGGAACTCGCCGTCGAAAAATCGATTCATCAGGTACAGTTGAAGGAAAATATTGACAAGGCAGAGGGCCTCGCAGGCGAAATACCGGTACACATACGTGTTGTGCGTCTGAAAGAAGAACAAGCAATCGGTGAATTGGCATAAATTGGACTCAATGAAGGCAAATTGGATTTAACCAAATCGTCTCAGCCCTCCTTCTCCTCTTACGTTCTTTCTCCCAAGATATGAACTATCATCGTTGAAATTTGTTTTAGTTAGAATTGAAAAATTTAAAATAATTACTTGATCAATTGTTATTACTTTTATTATTTTCTTAACTTTACATTTTAAAATTTAAATTTTACAATTTTTCTTTTCAAAAAGAATTGTATTTAATTTTTCTAATATTATAATTAATTAAATTTTGAACTATCATCGTTGAAATTTGTTTTAGTTACAATTGAAAAATTTAAAATAATTACTTGATCAGTTGTTATTACTTTTATTATTTTCTTAACTTTACATTTTAAAATTTAAATTTTACAATTTTTCTTTTCAAAAAGAATTGTATTTTAATTTTTCTAATATTATAATTAATTAAATGTATTTTAAAAAAGTGTCGATGAATTCATTATAAATTTAGAAGATCAATTTCATAATTTTCATAAGCTATTCCTCGTATTCTCAAAGAATGTAATTTTTTTTTTTTTTACTCAATTGAAATAATATAATCACTTATAAATATATAAATAAATTTACCTTTCTATATTGCATTAAATAAACCATAAGCATAGATTTCTTTTTTTGAATATTATCCTCGTGATCGAGACCATGATTCATACCCATAACCAGTGCGTTGATCAAACCGCCCTCCCACATATTCCACAACCATTGTGGAACGTAGCATAGTACCGCCTGTGAAAAATTATAAATATTTCGTTGATTGAGAGGAAATATTTTTTTTTTTTTAAGCATAAAAATATATATTTGAATGAAATTATGCGCAAAAAAAAAACATTTCTTAAAATTAGCAATCACTTTATGATATATTTATGAAAACACCGACGACGGTATAATCCATGCATAATAAGCTATGCAGTTCGCATAAAGGGGCCAATATAATATTGATGCCTTCGCGATATACGCAGATCTCATATTACATTTATCAGTGAAAGAAATTCCAATGGTTACGTAAAAAACATATACATTTACACTTGGAAACTTTTTTTATCTGGACGGAATCATGAGACAAACAGTTCTTATATGTAACTGGAGCGCATATAAGAGTATTCCGATTCTCTTTATTACCTATCATTTCTCATTTAAGCAATATGAATTCGTACTCGGGTAAATAGAATCAATTAATACCGGTATCGGAACATATTATGATAAAAGGATACATGTTATCTATAAAATTTGCAGATATAATTACAATGTAATAATAAATTACTATAATAATTGTAATAATAATAATAAAAATTCAGTTATTTAAATATTTTGTTATATTCAAAATAATTTTTTCAATTTGGCATCATTTCTTTTACAAAATCTATTATACAAATAAATATTACATAATATTATTTTAGTCCTATAATAATTCCATAAAGATTATATATTATATCATCTATATATCGATTATGTATTAAAAAAACAAGTATTAATAGATCAATAATTCTGAATTATTAATTCGTGAATACAGTCATTGTTTTGTTATCATTTATTGTTTTGTTATGATATAATGATTAAGATATCTTCAACCTGAAGAATTATATTTCACGTCTATTTATGTTTATCTAAATCTTTCTATCTGAAATCATTCCCTCTGTTTACGAGAGCTTAATTAATTAAAAAAAAAAGGCAAAATTTTTAAATCAATTATGATATAAAATACAGCATATGTATAACGTATTATGATAGATCATTGGAATTGTTGCAGAATCGATAGATATTTGTAGAATCGAAATTAATAAAATCAATATAAATCGAAATCTCTCTTTCCCGTAATGCACTGTTTCAAAATTTTTTCAGAGACAATTTTTAATAATTTACTGATATATTCATATGCAGAATCGTTTTAACTTCTATTTTTTATATTATATAAAACATAATGCAAACTTGTTGATGATTCTTCTTAACTTAATCTAATAGAGTCTTTCGACTCTACCGGTAAAAGCGTCAAATAGAGCGAAACTACTGCCAAAGCAGTTCTCAAGACAGGTAAAGACAAAAACTGATAGCACTGCAAAAAAAATAGATAATCATCAGTACAGAAGTGGCGATAAAAAATTTTAACAAGTCAATTTTTTACGCTCATGCATTTACGTCCGCGAATCAGATATCCAATACGAGAAAGATGAGAACAGTAAAGAAAAACCTAACCGAGAAGGCGCGTGCAGCTGTCTGTGTTTTATCTGTCGCGTGGTAGATTACTGATAAACGAGCCTTTACCTGGAAGAATAACACAAAGCACACCCATTGGTAATAAGTATAATATTTCCTCGCATCTACATCGCCGAAGTCGTTCGCTACTCCTGGATGCGCCACCTCTAGACCAACCTAATGAAAGAAATAAATGCTCTGTCAACAATAGGATAATGTCGAAAGAGTGCGGGTGCGTTGATTAATTTTATATTTTATATTTATATGCATTTTCTACAGTCTTATAGAATGTATCAGAAACATCAATCAAAAGAGAAGTGAAATAAACAAAAAATTTTATTTTAAAAGGATTAATTTGGAAGAATTTATTTGGTACTTGATAAAAGTAAAGAAAATTAAAACACAATAGACAAATTATTAATCTCTATTTTATGTCTTATATAATTAAATATATTCTGTAACTGTAAAATATATTCATAAATTTACAGTATAATATTTACCGAATTGATTTTGTAATAAAATATATATATATATATATATATATTGATTTTTTATATATTAGACATTTCAAAATTTCATATAAAATGAATAATTATACATGAAATTATAAAAAATAATGAGTTACCGAGGTTATTAGATAACCTTAATATAAATTCCAAAATTTTTCCATTGGCATATTATATTTTTTTTTATTTCCAATATAAAATAACATTTCAGACAATTATTATTATTTATTAATTATTATTATCAAGCAAAATTTTTTAAAAGAAATTTTTTTTCAAAGTCTATTATTTTTTATAATTGCAATTATTAATAAATATATTTTTGCTTATAACAAAATAAAATCTAAATTATTTATGAACAACGGTTATTTAAATAATTAATTTAATAATAGTAATAAATATTTTAATTAATAAACTGAAAATTAAATAATCTACATAATATAAATATGTATGTAAAGAAAGTAGAAAATTATATGATTACAATACATCAAACATTACAAATAAATATTTATAATGTTAAAAATAATTTTTAATAATTAATTTGTAAATTTTTATAACACGTATTAATTTAAAATCTTTTTAAATTATGTTTTATTTCAATTATATAAAAATAAAATCTATTCTATAATTTTATTATATCGAAAACCAGTCGGTACAACATTTTTCTATAGTTATCAACGATTCGTAACCCCACACTATACCCGTCAAGGTTTCGAAGGTTAGAAATAAGTGGTCTCTGTGATACCGTGATTAAATATGAATCTAAGTTAGAAAATTAGGGACGTAGTCGTTAAACCAGATTACCCACCTGCCGATTAAATGCGTCCGGCATAGTAAATGTAGAAGTTATCCAGCAATAAGTGTTGATAGGGTGCGTGGGTAAACCCTGAACGATGCAAGAGATTGGATTGCCTACGTATTGGGTGGCCGTGATTACCATCGAACACGTGAAAAGTAGCACCGTTGTAAAGTGGTTGTGTAACCGAAACACCATAGAATCTGTTGTGATTTCCTGCCATTTCAAGTATTGTCCAAGACCTCCTAGTAGTTTATACATGATTGTTTTCTTTAATCAAACGCGTTAGGTTGTTTACAATCCTCGTATGTTTTCTTCTCCTTCGCACGGTTATTCCCACGTGGTAGAATCGTTCACGAACGAAAAAAAAAACAAAAGAGAAAAGAAACAAGAGAAACACGTATCGGAAAAATCAGATATTAACTGAAACTTTCCCGAGTCTTCATCTACCACGCTCAAGCTCGAAAAGCGGTAAAACGAACGAAACAGACACGATCGTACGGCTGTGTCCACGCGGCGTGCCTCCCTCTTTTCCTTTTCTCCCGGTTCTCCTTCTCCTTTGGCGTCCTTCTTCCTTTTCTTCTGCCCTACTCCACCACTACTTCTTGTTCTTTCTTCGGACCGAAGAGAGTGCGCGCGCGCGCACACGCGATCGGTCACCGAACCACGTTGAACGAGATCGCGAACGACCACTTTAGACTTTACACACGCACACGGTTATCTTCTGGCAGGAATTTAATTCTGGAATGCGTTAACGAAACAAACGTGTCCTGTCAACATTTTTTGCCGCCAATCAATCGGTTCGAAGGCGTTAAACACGTTCAAGTGAGTCGTGATAAACAAATAACCGTGCGTGCTACTGGAAGCAAACAGTGTTTTCTGTATCGATTGTATGTCTTTTTCCCACGTGATCTCTGTGGATAGGTAGAGCTACATGTAATCGAGACGCGCGCTCGTTTCGTCTAGTTCTCTCGATCTCCGTATAATCGCGCTATGTCACGCCACCAAACTGATTGATTCTTCGCTTCGTGTCAAAGCTACGACACTCACTGTCAATTTTGCTGCTGTTCTTTCTGTCAGTCGAGGATTTCTCAGAGAGAAACACAGCCTGACGCAAAGTTGTGCAACACCTTGAACTCTCTCGGCGTGCCGCGAACCCCCTCTTTCTCCTTCTCTTTCTCTCTCTCTCTCTCTCCTCTTCGCGCAGAACTTTTTCTCTCGATATATCGTGCAGATAGATCGTACGATGAACGGGTTGCGAGCAGCCAACACCGAATTGTGTCGAGCATATACACGTATGTACGTAGCAGTCTTCAACGTCGACTGACGAGAAGTCAGTGGCTTGTTGTTCAGCAGAGGGGCGAGAGGGAAACTCTTTCGATCTGCTAGGGGGACTGCCGGAGTAGAAACGAGTAGGAGAGGGCCCAGGAGGTGGGGATCGAAACGGTGGGGGACCGACGGCTGCTTCAAACTCCCCCCTTTATATACCACAATATATTGTATACCCTGTTTCCATAGTGTATGCTCCTGCGTTCAACGATGAGGGCTACTGTTGTCAGATTCTTTTTATTTTTTAACAATTTATTTCGTATGCTTAGAACGTATATATTTAAAATTAAAAAATACAAAAAAAAACTTATAAAAAGATTATCACATGGGTTTTATTTTTTATTTCCTTTTTTTCTGTTTAATTTTATTTATTATGAAAACAATAGATAGAAAAGATTATTTCGAATTTCGAGCATACGAAAATAACATGTAATGTATGTAAGATATTTCTATCTAATATTCAAAAAATATGAATTACAATAAAAAAAATTTCATATATTTATAACATATAATTATAAAAATTTTTAGTTTTCCTTCCTTCCGATAATATTCCATTTCAAAATTTATGGTGATTTAAAACTTGAGGCTCGCTCCCATTACCGTTATTTGCTTGCTTGTTTCTCTTTCTTTTCTGTTCTGGCCGGTCTCTTCTTCGCCTCGAATATCATAATGAAAGTAAATCGGTTTAATTCGATCGTTAAATTCAATTGAACACTGAGGTCGACAGAAGGATCATATGCAGAATTTATACGAGTAAAATTTATATTCTAAATGACAACATCGTGTTTAGAATTATTCTACATATAAAATTAATCAATATATATATATATATATATATATATCAAAGAAAAAAGTTACAGGGAGTTTCATATTTCCAATAAGTATCTTTTCGTTTCTTCCATTATTTCTTTGATTTAAAGTGTAAACAAACCTCGAATATCACAAGATAAAATATATTTATCTCATATTATATTTAATTTGTTCGTAAATTCAATAAAAAAGATAACTGCACGTCGAAATGCTGAATAAATAATTTTCATCATTTCATTTTATAACATTTTTAATATATTAACTAAAACATAACGAATTTCTACTATTTATGTTAATACTATTAGTATCATTAGATGATATTTGCAAATTGTAACTGGTAATAGATTATACTGCTTTCTAAATGAAAAGTAACAGATAATAGAATTTAAAAATTAAAGTGAATAAAAAAAATTTGATTAATAAAGAATAAAAGTTGATATATGATATAATCGAAATCGTAAAAATAAATTTGCATGTGAAATTGCATAAGGCAATGTAACAAGGAATTATCCAATCAATATCAGCAATTTTGTGCTCGCTTCTTCTTCCTTCTCTCGTTTTATGCCTTTATTCTGTTTGACAAAGGGTGCTTGCTGCAATTTGTACGTGACCAGATGCACGGTTCCTGAAAGAACTGCATTTTACTCTACGAAAATACCAGTATCTCTTGTATTCATAGTCATTTCGTTTGTGATTATGTTAGATTCTGAGATATATATTAAATTGCAACAAAAATAATAAGAATTAAAAAAAAAAAATTGTTCGATAATTTTTTTTTTTATGCGTTTAAATTTTATATTCGTAATATTTAGTTGAATACTATAGAAATAGAAACCTTGAAACTTGTATTTTTCCATTAATTTGAATATTTCATTTTTTTTTTTTTTCGACATTTTTATCTTTAACATTTATAATTGATACTTATTTTCTTTATCATTATATGTGTATATATTTTTTATCTATGGTAGAATTGTTCATTTTTTAATTTTATATTTAAAATTCAAATTCAGATTTTATCATACAAAACGATATTTTTATATAATGTACAACTTTATAAATCTATAGTGATTATATAAAATTGGACAAATTGTCTTAAAATAACCGTTTATCCCAATAACTACTCGATAAAAATTCATATTTTTAATTCCACATAGTTAAATGGAAATAAATATCTATGTAAATTTATCGCGTCATAATTTTCAATATCAGTCGACTGTACAAAGATTTCGAAAAACAAAGAATCTTTACACGAATACGATATTTTTTTACATAAGCTGTTGTTCATTGCCATTGGCATAAAATTTTTTTTGAGATAAAACGAAGAAAGATTTAGAGAAACAATTTTTTAAGTTATGAAATTTTAACGTATTTTTTCTTAGAAAAAAAAAATATATATATAAATAATTTATAAGATGTCATTTTTTTAAAAAAAATATTATAAATTCTAATTTCAATAAATAATGAAAGCTATTTCATTCCTTTAAATATTTGAAAATGGGATGTTAGATTTGTGATCGGTTTAATTTATACCTACTACAAATACAAATACTAACTCGTGTAAAAACGATGGTGACACATGTTACGCACATGTTTACGGAATCTCGTAAAAGTCTTCCAGATACAAGAGTTCCGGTTACTAAGAAACTATCGCTGCACTTAGAAACTAATGTTCTACGAAAGAAAATCAGCAAGACTTTAATTCGATACATAAAACGATACATAAACGGTACGTTGGTGTACATCTATGACGTATCAATAGCAAATGGTAACATGATATTGCGTAAATATTTTCATAACGCTCGTCGTCGTTTATCGCTTGTGCTTATTAGAAGATATAAAGAAATTTTCGTTTGTATATTTCGTGTTTGTAATAGGCAAAAAATTTTAGGGAATAATCGAAGTGGAATATTTTCAAGATATAAACAAGAGGAAACTTGCCTAATTTCTTATCGATCGATGAATGTATGAATGTATGTGATATGAATTTTGCTTCTTCTTTTATGAGATTTAACAGCGGTTCCCAACCTGTGACATTCTTTAAAATATTTTTCTAACGAGATTTATTAAATTTTAATGAACGTCGGAATGAAAAATTATCATTTCTTGATAATTATGAGAATATAACGAGGGCATATATATATATATATATAGTTAATCAATTTAAACCTTGTTTCATTCTTGAAAAATACCTTTCACTTAAAACCTTGGTTTTTTACTGGCTATACCTTTAACCGAGAAACCTACAAATAAATATTTCTTCTGAAATTTCAGAAGAATTTTTAGATTATAAGAATATCATACATGATTCAATAAATTTAATATAATATAATAATAATAATAATAATTTAACATAATCATTTACATCATACATTACATACATTAAAAAGGTTAAGTTAGACTGAGTGAAAGTGAAAGGGTTTGGGAACATGTTACAAGTTCCCAATAAATTTATCTTATGAAACAAATTGAAGAATACAATAAAATAATCAATAGCAAAGAAAGTCATTTTTTTGTTATATTATCGGTTAGAAGAAAATTCTGCTCCTATTTACCTATTTGGTGAAAATAAACTTTGTATAAATAAGCATTTGCTAGATAGGATACTGTTGAATCACGTTTCTGATAATTCAAAAGTTGAATCGTTAAGACTCTGCAACTAGTATCGCATTCAATGTGAAGAAAATAAACGAGATACGAATACAAGTGAATTAAAAAGTCAAGGATACTAGGGAAAGCCGTTCTCCGAATATCAATTTACCTTGAATCTGCAATAGATCGAATGTATTGAAAATTATTATATTGAGATTTTTCAAATTTTTTTTTTTTTTAAGTGTTCAATTGAAGATGCAATTTTAAATTATCCAAGAAAATTGCTTCGAATGATTAAAAGATTGAGAGAAAGCCATCTGGAAAATATAAAAAAATGGTGAATATAATCTTGCTATTCTGAGAATTCAGAATTTAAGGTTTAAGAAATAAGAATTGAATATATCAGGTTAAAAATCAGGATTTTCTGCATTTCTTATTATAGGAATAATTGAAACAAGAAGTCAACAATAATGGACATACCACAAATCTTTGAGTCAAGAATACTTTGATACAACAAACAACGAACTCGTATATGAGAATCTTTTTAGGTCTCTATCCACTTTCATCACTTGCATCACTTGAGTAATCGAGTTTATTAATGAAAGAAATTTAGATTCTGGAAATTGTTAGCATTATTATTATTTATTTTTACTTTATTAATAATAATTAATAATAATATGAATTAATCTTGATAATTAGCTTGGAATTTCGTCGAGCACAATAAAGGAACAATAAATAAGAAAGAATTAAAATAAATTAAAATAAATATGCAAGACTTGACAACAAAGTTTGCGAACTCGATAATAGTAAAATTACTGTGTACTTTATTGTATTGAATGTCACCATTTTCAAACTTTCTATTTTTTGTAAACTGCTTTTGAGAAGCTATGCCTTGTCCACTTTCAAAATTGACTTTTTTCTTTTTGGAAGGAAATTTCTTCAGAAATGTTATTTTTATCATTATCTGTCCTTAATATTCCCTTAAGGAGAGTTCTGATTAGATTAGATTGAAAAATATTTATACATAAGTACAATTAATAATATTTAAATTATATAAAAAAAAAAATAAAAATAAATAAATTCTTCCGTTTACTTACAGTTCATAATAATCATTCTTCAGAAATAAATAAAAAATATTGAACGATATTTTGATGATCATTTTTTTCTGCACGATATTTTTTTCTGACAAAAAAAAAAAAAAGAAATTGAAAACTCAGAATCTCAGATCAAAGCACAATACTTTACCATTTTTGATCATTCTTTTTTTCGAGCGTTTTTGTTCACGTAAATTACGTTAGTTACCGTGGTTTTCATATCGTGGTCTCGTTTTCGTTGCAACCGGTCGCTGGTCCAAATGTGCAACGTGATGTAACCCAAGCTTTTGTGCAGACGCACCGCAATACGATATCGCCACGACCCACCGACATCTCGGTTTCTCCACTATACACAACCAGGTTGATCCTTGTGACCGTGTTCCATGCAACGAACGTCGCGCATATAACGAGATAAAAATGAAAACAAAACGAAAAAGAAGAGTGAGTGAGTGAGTGAGTGAGCGAGAGAGAGAGAGAGAGAGAGAGAGAGAGAGAGAAGAAAAGTAGGAAAGGAAA